TCTGAAAATCCAAAATGCTCCAAAATCCAAAATTTTTTTAGCACTACATGATGTTCAAATGTCATGCTCAAAGAAACACTAAGTGGAGCATTTCAGATTTGGAATTTCAGATTAGGGATGGTCAGCTAGTAGTATAATTTAAATATTCCAAAGTCTGAAAAAGTCCAAAATCCAAAACACTTCTGGTCCCAAGCATTTCAGATAAGGGATACTCAGCCTGTACCAAGATATCATGAAGGTAGAAACTGCAGGGACAAGTCACCAGCCCTAATGCTGGAGGAGGTATTAAAATTTAGAAGCTTGGTGAAGGGGCTCTCTGGGGTAGTGACCCAGGCCTCTTAGGAGGGGTGCTGGCTGGCTGGTGCTAATGTTATTAAGAGAGCATGATAGGGCTGCTTCTACAAGTATTGAAAACCGCAAACTGGAAAGAACACATTCTTTCCATCTTCTCCACTGATGGAGTGGGGAAGCATTGCCAGGGTATTGTCGTCAGGAGCAGAGGACAAACAGGAAAGTGCAACTCCTCTCTTCCTGCTCTAACCTTCCAATCTCCCTCTAGCACCTCTTGTGGGCAGAACCTAACAAAAAGCTAACTGGCAAAGTATAAACATGGTATGTGATGTCCCAGCTCCAGCATCACAAAGCAAGAGTATAGGAGGGTGTGAGTGTGAGGCTGACCCAGTAGCTCGGCGGCTGCCACCGCCCGTCCATTGCCTACTCAGCATCATACACATTCTACACATACTTGAATTTCCAAGCAACAAAAACAGCCCTCTTTTTCTACCTAACAAGATACAACTATCTTAGAAAGAAGATGTTCTCCCTAAAACAAAGCGATGAAGTTCTCAGACCTCGACGATACCCAGTCCCCAAATCCTAAAACTTTCTGGAGTTACTTTGTGAGAATTGGTTTCCATCATGTTGGCTTTCCCCTCTACAGGCATTTAGGTTTTGCTGCTTCTACTCCTCCACAGACATTTCCTTTCCAAAAAATTTGCTTACATTTCTTATATTTTGTTGTCCTCTCTTCTATTTCTCCTTCTGGTTGATGCCTTTTTATTCCACTTCTGTCATTTTGGTGGGTTTTGAGGAAGGAGGGAATAGTGATTACATTTTGTCGCTGGTACTGTTGATCCCCCATCCCGTATTCTCTTGGCGTTCCTCTGAATACTACTGCAGCCTTGGTGACCAGTTCCCATATACACTGAGAGTACCTGTATCTCTCTTCTCCACCCAGGAGCTTTCTCTGGGGCCCTTAGACGTGTTCATCCTAAGTGCAGGGCAGCCTGGAAGTTGCAGGGATTTAATGCCCAGGGTCGACCCTCAACAGGTGAGGATAAGTCATTGAAAAAATATTCCACCTTCTCATCCCTAGTGGGACAATTCTGAAGCACCCAGCAGGACTGGCCACATTTTCCCACAACTGTAACTTGCTCGTCAATAGACTGTCCATTGACCTTTGACTCTTCTTTAACTCTCCCAGTCCCTCATTTGTACTTCTTCAATTCGCTGGCCAAATTACTTGCATCCAAATATGCTTTTTGGGGTGTTCAAACTAAAATGTCTTCAAATTGCTGTTGAGCAAATATATTCATGTTCATTCATTTATTGGGAAGCTACAATTTTCTAGACACTGTGAAACTGAACTGGTAACTTATTATTTTTATGTGTTTCTCATACATATACCGCGTGTATATGTGTACATATACACAAGTATGTGTGTGTATATCTATGTATACGTAATGCATACTTGATCTCAAGTTCATTGACATTAGAGCTGTGACTTCCACGTATGCTTGTCTCCTGAGTCCAACACAGTCCAGTGCAAACAGGAGGTACTAACGATTATTTCAACAATGATTGACCATTCCTATTTTTAGGCTTCAAATACAGTATACAATGTTACACACAAAATCAACATATAAAGTTGATGTTAAATAATTTATAAATTAAGATATAGCTTAACAAGCATTTGTACACCTCCTATATGCACAAGCATGATGCAGGTTATAAAGGCAAAATGCAGGAACTTAATATTAATACATGATAGGCACTAAATAGCATATACTTGTGAAAAATGAGTTTATAGAAATATTACCTCAGAAAAGGGAAGGATTAAGATAGAGTGGTAGGCATGATTGGAAATAGCTTCCAGAATTAGTAATTATTTGAGGAATAGTAGAGTTTAATAGGATTTAAATAGGTGGAGAAGAGGAGGGTATTCCAGTGTCGGAGTGCAGGGTGGGAAATCAGTGGTGATGGTCAAGAGCCCCGCATTAACATGGAGAATGAAGCTAAAGGGACCTGAATGCATGTGGCATATGGAGTGAGAGAATGGCCTGATGGAGGGTTTGTTTCCTGTTGAGTCGCAATAGAAAGAAAGCAATGGAGGGCCTTTGAACCCCAAGGAATTTGGACTTTGTTGCTGACAGAAGAGGGAGTTTTTGAAGGATTTTCCAATATAAAATATAAAGTAGTGATTGAATTGGAGAGGATTAATTTGGTGCCTTGCATAGACAGCAGGCGTGGACAAAGGCTAATGGAAGAAAATTCTGGTACAACTTGCTTTCTAGAATCTTCAGGACTGTCGCTTTCTGTGTAAGTAAACATTTTTCTCTTTGAAATAATGTACTATGCATTTAAAATCATTATTTTTCCTTTGGTTTCTTCTTCTATGTCAGAGTATTTGATTCATTTAAAAAGTTAGCAAGTTTAGCAAAAGTCCAAGCAACCAAAAGATTGCAGCCTGTTCTTCCTGGCTATTCAGAAAGGCGGTAGATAGAAATGGAATGACTTCTGTCTGGTTTGCTTCATTGAATTTTAAGGATTTATTTGTTTAATTTTAAACTTTTGTACTAAACCTTAAAATGGCAGCCATATAGGCAATTTTATGCATCCCAATTTTGAGATTTAGATTAACTGTTGTGAATATTTTCATCAGAAAGTTCTGGTCATTCTGAAATGTCCTAGTTTAATATTGCTACATGTTAAGATAATCTTGTTACATATAGAGCAAGACATTTTTGTCCTGTTTTTCTTACATGTAAAATGAAAGTCAGTGGAAAAATATTTAACTAAAATTCACTTTTAAGGAATGCTTTGATGTAAATGTGGTGATATATACAGTTACTTTGAAAAACCATGAATCTAGTAATCTAGTATTCTACTAGAAACATATTCATTTGGGTTTTGTTTTTGTTTTTTTATAGAAATGGGGTTTCACAGTGTTGCCCAGGCTGGTCTCAAACTCCTGGGCTCAAGTGATTTTCCCACCTCAGCATCCCAACAGCTGGGACTACAGGCACTGCGCCTGGCTTATATTAGTATGTTTAACAGACTTTCAATCATGTAAATACAATTCGGTTATATGCAAATTAGGAATATTTTGAGAGGTTCTTTTCATCTACCTATTTCCTTTAATCATTATTAAGCAGTTAAACTATATTCAGTTAAGAAAAATGAAGGCATTCCTTTTTCTTTTATCTTTGTGCTTCAGTTTCCCTTGCACCCAATGAGCGTTCATTGAATCTGTCCTCTGGGAATGGCACTGTGAGGTGCTGGGACACGAAGATGTCTCCTTGTAAGGTCTCCTCAAGGAGACTTTAGTCAGGTAGGGGTCAGGACTTGTAATAAATGAGATTTGAAGTGTTATAATTACTCACAGAGCTTCAAACAGGACATGTGAAGATAGACAATGGGATAAGGTGAGGAAAGAAGGTCAGGGCAAGCCTTAAAGAGAAAGTGATACTTGAATTGAGTTTTAAAAGATGAGAGAGGAGTTTTAAAAGATGAGAGGATGCAGGAAAAATGGAATTTCTGGTGGAGCTAGCAATATAAGTTTCTTGAACTGTCTAATTCTGTGTTATATACCAGCAGCTTTTTTGCTAAGGCTAACCTCCAACTGCGGATGAAAATGAAAAGGAAGGTTTTTAGAGACAAAGAAAAGTTTCTTTTCTTTAATAACTCAAAGCCTAAAGTGATGAGGATGGCATATAAATGCGCATTCTGAAGTATTTTATGACATGCATTGTGATGTGTAATCACTCGATAGTGAATCACCCAGTTTCTGTGTCCTCTTCTCTTTCGGGAGCTTCAAAAGATACCCTCTTCCTTTGGCCCTCTTCTACCTCATTATGCTTCTCATTTCGTGAACACAACCTCATAAAGATGACAGTCTTTCTTTTCATATCCTGGTTCAGATGGAGCTGTTACAGGGCAGAAACTTGGACCAGGTCTACAATGCATAGATTCAGCAGACATTCCTAGATCAGGCCCACCTTAATTCTGTTTTTTATAATTCCGTCAGTGTCTTCTGTTTGTAATAAATACGGTCTGTTATATTTGAGGGACTATTCTAGGTACTTGAGAGATATTAACCACTAGAATGGACAAAGACCTCCAACCCAGTGGAATTTACAGGGCAGCTCTGGAAGATTGTTTTCTTTCTTCCACACAGACAAAGCATTTGTTAAAATTAAGCTGCTACCTAAAGCACTGAGTTTCTTTAATGTGCCTTGTATATAGGAACTGAGTGGAAGAAGACATTCTTTATTTTGGGGAAGAAAGCTTTTTTTTTTTTTTTTTTTTTTTGTAGCTAAGGGTTCTGTAGGGACAGACCAGTATGATGTAGCATATTTTCCCTAGTTTATCTTGTAAAAAAGATGAAAGTTGGAAAGTACTAAAAATATGGTGGTTTCAGCGACAGATAAGTGGGTGAAGGGAGAAATATTTAAAGACAAGTTATTTGAAGCTTTCCTTGCTTTGTGCTTCAGTGAGGAGAGAGGGAGAAGGCAGCTACCAAAATGACTAAGTCGTCAATTATAGCCTGGGTGTACTTTAAATAGGCAGAATATAGAAGCATAGTAAGAAAGCAGAGGGCTAAATAGGAAAGAATTCTGTTATGACATTAAGAAATCCTATTTATTAAAATTGCAACAGATCTGAAATAGAATATTTTCAGTTTTATTTTTTGATTATAGTTCTCATTTGTGATATTATAGATGCTGTGCCTACTCTCTCAGGAAATAGTCCATCTCTGCAGACAGATGTGAGTTTGGACAAGAGATCAGATGGTACCCTTACAAATACTCTAACAGAAAACCTCTTGGAAGCACCTTTAGAAAAGCAATCAGCTGCAGAAGGTCTTAAAACATTGACAATTTTACCAGCATATTGGTCGTCAAGTAAAGAGGAGTTTATCAGCCCCAACTTAAGGATATCACAGCCAGATTCTACTTTCCATAACCAGGCCTCTGTAGAAACACTCTATCTCTCTTCTTCATTCAAAATATTTGACCCAGTGAAGGAGACTGTAATCAACAAGGCCTATCAGAAACCAGCACAAGACAGTATTATTCAGATGGATGATAAAATTTTCAAGACAACCACACAGGGTGAGTCTACCAAAAAAACAAAACCAAAAACCTCTTTTGAAGCATTATTTTACTTTTCTCTGCTTCCTGTCTCCTTGTTTGTTTCCCTCCTTTCACTCTCATCAGTGATATTAAAATGTACATGTCATACAGATACTTCTCAGTTGGGAAAGTACCCCTTTTAGTAAAGGGCTAATAGATAATTCATCACCATATGTTCTGAGTCCTTGGTTGAACATATTACCATAACTTCTGAGCAATTTTGGTGCAGACCAAATTAGAAGGAACTAGCATGAAATAAGTGCTTTCTATTGGACATGTAGGTTACTTATTAAGAGATTATATGAAAAAGAGTTGGTTCGTATGTATATTGGTGTATACACACATCTCCGCATACACACTTGTGCACGTGTGCCCTTTTAAAAAGGGCTGTGTACTGACCGCACAAAAGGGGCAGGGGATCTTGTCATTTTTTATATCTTTATAAAACATCACGAGCGCAATATTGTGTAGACTGGGTGATAAAGGATAAAGCCAGTTGAGGTTGCAGGTTATTGGCTGTCAGTTACTAAATCCTCCATTATATAATTATGCTTTCTTCTTTAAAGTTAACTAGTGAAAGAATAATTTTTTGTTCATGACTAAATAGTAGTTTTATTGGTTCTTATATATAATAGTGCTAACCAACTCAGATAAATAGAAAGCTTTTTAAATTTATTTCTTTTTATTAGAGACTGGATCTTGCTCTGTTGCAATCAATGCAATCATGGCTCACTGTAGCTTTGAACTCCTGGGTTCAAGCATTGCTTCGGCCCCTCAGCCTTCCAAGTAGCTAGGACTACAGGTGCATGCCACCACAATTGGCTAATTTTATTTTTAATTTATCATTTTTTTTTTTTTGGTAGAGGTTGGGTTTTGCTATGTTGCCCAGGTTGGTCTTGAACTTCTGGCCTCAAGTGATCTTCCTGACTCAGCCTCCCAAAGGTCTGGGATCACAGGCATGAGCCACTGTGTCTGGCCAATACAAAGATTTTAATGTGAATCTTTTAAGTTGACTCAAACCCAGATTAAAAGTACATATAACTATAAATAATGGAAGCTACCATGTTGAAGCTAAAGACATTTATATTGGTATTAGTAAGGTCAATGAGTAATAAAAGATTTTCCTTTGTGCTCTTTCAAGAATTTTTTGATATTGAATAGCGTAAAGGTAGTAAAACTGATTCTCTGTTTTATCAACCAATTACTTTTCTTTTGAGACTGTTGATGTGGAAACCAGTTAGTACTGGTTATGACGGCTCTGATGGATTATGTTCATGGCTGTCTCCTGGGAAGCTGATACTTTTGGTTCGCTTCTTTCATGAATACCACAAAATGATCATTGAAAATATTTTTTGATCACTGTGAGTGTACCAGGCACGCTTAAAATTTAGCAAGAAGTTCCTCGAAAACTGGTTAACACGGAGAAATTTTGTGCCTGCTTGTATGAGATAGAACTGGTCTAATTCTACTATCAAAAATAATTATTAAATGTGGGAAATTATTAAAAGCTGGTTTAAAGTCATCATCAAACAACCAAGTAGAAAAAACATAGTAAGGTTAAGATCCCAGGGGGAAGACAATTGAGATGAGTCCCTCATTCACCTTAGTTTTCCCCCCTTGAGTCTTCTGCTTATTCTCAGAGCAACATAATAGAAGCTGAAGAGAAATCAGAGGTCTGGGCTTTCCACAGTCTCACTGAGCTCGGGAGACAGGTAGGAGTTTGGGGTTTTCAAAGTGTGAGGGACTTGAAGGGCCCGTATTCAAGACGGTGGGAAAGTCTCTCTGTCATTTCTTACTGAAACATTTGCTTACTGCTAAGCTACATGCGTTCAGGACGAGATGCCAAGAAACTAAATGGGAAGCAGCTTATAAGAGGCCAGTGAGCTAAGCAGACAAGGAAACAAACGTCGGAGTTCAGGATGTGGTAAATCGCAGGATCCGTGGTGATCACTCCAGGCTTTCCACTGGGACCCCGATAGGCTATACAGAACTATACTCTAGGAATAAGGATGAACCAGAAGTTGAACAGCCCTCACAAATACTATTAATAAAACCCATTTCGCCTAGAGCAAAGTGATTGATTTGTATTCCATCTGCCTTCTAGAAGACAATTAAATCCTTTCTTGAGAGTTCTTAAAATTTTTCATAAAATATTTTGGCTTTCAACAAAAAGTTACCAGGCATACTAGGAAATGAAAAAATGGCCAGAAATATAGGAGAAAAGTAGACAATGGAAACAGACCACAGTAATCTAGATTCTGAATGTATAAAATAGGTACTTTAAAATTATGGTTAATATTAATATGATCAAGAAGACAAGAAAGATGAAAAATTTCATCAGAATACTAGTATCTATTTTAAAAATCAAATGGACTGGGCACAGTGACTCATGCTTATAATCCCGGCACTTTGGGAGGCTAAGGCGGGGAGATTGCTTGGAGGCTAGGAGTTCAAGGTAAGCCTGGGCAACATAGGGAGAGTCCATCTCCAAAAAATAAAATAAAATAAAATAAATGTTAAAAGCCAGATCTGGTGGCATGTGCTTATAGTTCTAGCAACCCTGGAGGCTGAGGCAGGAGGATCACTTGAGCCCAGGAAGTTGAGGCTACAGCGAGCCATTATCATGCCACTACACTTTAGCCTGGGTGACAGAGTGAGATCCTGTGTCAAAAAAAAAAAAAAAAAAAAAATCAAATGAAAATTGTAGAGCTGAAGAATACAGTAGCTGAAATTAATATTCTGAGAGTACTTCTCAGTCCTTATATCCTGGAGTGTCAAAAAAGAGTTCAGTCTGGCAGGGAAGTGGGAAATCCTAAAAGAGAAGGAGACTCAGAAGGGGCAAACCTCATTATTTGTGCATAAACTCTTCCCAAATTCTTGACTGACGACTAAACTATATAGGGGGACCTCAGTGAGTCTGACCAGAAAAAAAAAAAAAAAATCCTACTGGAAGCCAAAAGAACTGAGATGAGACTTCAGTTTCTGTTTACTGGAAGGCTGACAGTTTGAAGAGGCCAGGCAAGTTATCTTCCAACCAGAACAAAATTCATAACTCTTTAGAGGAGTATCACAGAATCCAGACACTTTACAATGTATCATCCAAATGTCCAGTATAAAATTTTAAAAATCACTAGGCATGTGAAGAAATAGGAAGATATAAGCCATATGAAGATATTAAGAATCAGTAGAAACTGGCCCTTAGATGACCCAGATGTTGCAATTACCAGACAGATTTTTAAAAGCAGTTATTATAAATCCATTTAAGAACTTAAAGTACGCTCAATGAATGAATAGAAAGGAGCATCTCAGCAGACAAATAACTGTAAAAAGAAATTAAATGGAAGTTCTGGAGCTGAAAGATAAAAAAAATGAAGTGAAAATTTTACTGGAAGGGATTAGCAGAAGATTAAAAATGAAAGAAAGAGCAAGTGAATTTGAAAATAGATCAATAGAAATAATCTAATCTGAAAATGGAAAGAAAAAGATTAATGAAAAAGAAACAGAGAGACTCAGTCTTGTGAGACAGTGTCAAGCACTCTGACACTGATGTAATTGGAGTTCCAAAAGGTGAGGAAAAGACAGAGGGTCAGAAAAAAATTATTTGAAGAGATGATGCCCAAACCTTCCCAAATGTGTGAAAGAAATAAACTTTCAGATCCAAAATGCTCAATGAATTTCAAACAGAATTTTAAAAACATGTCTGGATGCATTATAGTTGGACAGCTGAATTCCAGAGATAAAATCTTGAAGGCAGCAAGAAACATTATCATATTACATGCAGAGGACCAAGAATATGAATGACACCTGATTTTTTATCACAAGCAGTGTATATCACAAGACAATGAATAGTCATCTTGTAAGTGTTAAAAGGCAAAACGTATTAACCCAGAACTCTGTATCTAGCAGAACCAAAAAAAATTGAGATGAAAACAGGACTTGATTCAAGTGAATAAAAACTAATCGTCAGGAAATCCATACTACAAGAAACACTGAAGGAATATTTTCAGCCTAATGAGAAATTACACTAGTTACTTGAATCTACAGAAAAGAATGATGAACGCTGGAAATGGTAAATATGTGGATAAATATAAAATACTATGTGTGCTTTTTCTTCCGATTAAAAAGTACATGTAACTATTTAAAGCAAAACTTATACTACGTTTTGGGGCTTGAAACATATGTAGATATATATTACAATATAGCACCAAAAATGGAAAGTTCATGGAATTATACCACTGAAAGATTTCTATATTTTACATAAAATAGTACAATATTAACTATAATTAACCCATGGTAGGTTAAGCGTGCATATTTAATTACACTTGTAAAAAGGAAAGTGGAATGGCCAAAACCCTGTTGAGGAATTAATATGGAATACTAAAAATATATTCAATCAACACAAAAGAAGAAAGGAAAAGAGGGACAGCAACAGATGGCAGATAGCAAAATAGAAGACCTAAATCCAACCATTTCAATAATTACATTAAACGGGAGTGGAATAAACTTTCCAATTAAAAGGAAGAGACTTTAGATTGGATAGAAAAGCAAGACTCAACTACATGCTATCTATTAGGGAAGTGCTTTAAATACAAAGACGTAAATTGATTAGAAGTAAAACCATTAAAAATATGTACTGTGCAAGCAGCATAAGGTGAGAGTGGCTATATTAATATCAGACAAAACTGACTTCAAGACAAGGATTATTACTAAAGAGGGCATTTCATATTGATACACAGGCCAGCACAGGAGGGATGTAAAGCAACAACAAAAGGGATATATGGCAACTAAAAGTGTGTATGTACCTAATAAAAGAACTTCAAAAATACACGAAGCAAAAACTGACAGAATTATAGGGAGAAATTACACAAATCCACAGTCATAATTTGAGATTTTATTATTCTCAGCAATTGATAGAGCTAGGCATAAAAATCCGTAAGTATGTGGAAAATATGAATAACTATTCAAAAACCTTAACTTAC